TAACAATGAAAAATATATTATATTATTTAATAAGTAGTAGTATTGTAGCAGTTTCACGAAATACTAACTTTTATTTAATATGACTTCAATGTCGATACAAATATCGATATCTTGGGTCACGCCCTATGACAATCCGCCATCGAAGAATTTGCATTTGAAGTTTAGGCATATACGCTTTTTTCGTAGGTATGGCCGGTCCTCTTCTTTTATGTCTATGACTGGAGCTTAGAATATTCTCTGTGGTATTATGCTCCTTGGTTGTCACAGTGTCTGGTGTAGTGTTGTAAAAGAACTGAGTCTTTTAGTCCTAATTTTGCGACTATAAGTTATTTTTGCAGAACTCACGACTAATTAGTCTTCTGAGTCCTTAGTCTTGATTTCTTTTGAGTCTTTTCAGTTCTTTCAGTCCTAAAAGTTCTTGAGTCGTTAAATTTATTCTAAGTCCTTTCGTTTTTTTTCAGTCCTTTGGGTTCTTTGAGTCCTTTAAGTTCTTTGAAGTCTTATGAGTCGTGTGAATTATACAGCAGGACTGCAGTCCAATCAAAAAGACTCATGTCATGAAGCCTTTGAGTTCTTTACACATCAAAATCATACATATTTAATACTAATTTGTCAATTATTGATTTACATTTAATTGTTGATGTCGTGTGATATAAAAGAAAAACAAAACTATGTTAATACATACTACTTTTACAAATTCATACTCTCTCTGACGCTCTGGTAGTGCAGCCGTATCAAAAAACTTAACGTAATTGTTTCTAGTATACAATAATGAAAAAAAATTGCCATAACTCAAATCATATAACGAACACATTACATTTGGAATCTCGATAAACATTATTATTTATTTTTACTTTCCTTGAATAAGTAAGTGATACTCTCATTCATGTACGTCAGTAAGTAATTACAAAATGTAGGTAATTAATTTTTAATCTATTTACGTCCTACTCTACAGAGCTTCGAGAATTCGAGATACGAAGCGCCAATAATTATACGCTGAAGTATAGTCGTAAGATGTGATAATTCCTTACTTATTGATTCTGTGAGTATATAAACAAAATCCTTTATCTAGAGACGAAATCGAAAGGTACTTACAGTTGCAACAGGAGCCAGAAGATACTGATGTACTTTCATGGTGGACAATTCAGGAAAAATCATTTCCTCAGTTATGTCGCGTTATAATTATAAGTGTTGGTAGGTTTTCGTAAGACTAAGCTCTTTTTAAAAGGACTCAGTCGCTAGTTCTTTTTAGGAAAGCTAAGTTTTTATTTGAAGGGCTTAGTCTGGAGTTCTTTTTGTAAAGAGTGAGCTCTTTTAAAAGACTCAGTCTCGAGTTCTCTTTGGCAAGACTGGAGTCTATTTTAAGAAGACTAAAAACTCAGAGAGGCTTAAGCTTTAACTTACTCTTTTTTGACTTGAGTCTTCAAAAAAAGACTCGAGTCTCAATATTAGGACTAAAAGACTCAGTTCTTTTACAACACTAGTCTGGTGCCGTATTTGTTTAGTAATTTAATACCAACTAAGTCTGTGGTTGAATATTATTTTAGTATGAGAGGCGTTATCTAGCTGTATATTTGATCGAAGCCAAGGGCGTAATTATACAGCGTTCGTTGGCATACGTGGTTGATTAAAACCATGAACCAATATCTAACTGGACTGAACAATGGTTCATTAAAAATGGAGGGAGTGAGAATTGTCAAGAAAAGGTGTGAATTTGTTGAGAAAACATTTATAGCAAAAATAAAAACATTTTATAGCTAAATTTTGCGAAAAGAAGCTGTAGATCAACGAAATAATCCATTTAAAAACCTGTTTATGAATAGGGATGAAGATGATTTTTTTTATCTGTCCATCAGGTAGACTACTGAAAAAATTAAACTCGGGTTTTTTGTGTAATCAATTAATTATGGCGATACATTGAGTTGAAATGTCGCATGATATCACGCTTTTGTACATTTTCTACAAAGCTGTGACGTAGTGAACCCCACTCCTCAAATTTAAGACTTACTATCTAAACCATTTCTTGTTTAAATTGATGCAATAAAAATACTTAAGTATCTAATATTTTTCTATCATGGACTTAAAAGAATTTCTTTTTATTTACCCTATTGTCATCTCTGTTGGCCGGCAACTAGTTATGAATAGTCTTGATACTTATTTTCTTTTCTAAATATTTGTTTAGTATAACGATTTTTTGTTAAAGAGAAGATTATAACCTATAACTATGATATCTAACAAGTAACTGCAAGACCTACTGTGTACCACCCGTACACAAATTTATATGTACAACGACAACAAATCTTATATATTACTTCAGATTTGCAACATTAGTAGAGATTAACAAATACATAAAGCAAAGCTTCTTTTATTTATCTGTGTTATATTTTGGATCAGGTAACACATTATTGAGTTTTTGCTGACCAATCAAAATACTAAATGGTAGTAATATAGAGCTCACATGTATATTTTTGTGCACACACTTGTGAACTATAGGGTGTCCTACCCAAATGGCTAATCTATCTAAAAATTTGCCTTATCGGAGTTTGGTCAGGAGTATACTGTTTAATGTCATGAGGCAGTTCTTTATTATTATATTAAAAATATTTAAGTGTATCAAGATGTCTACAAATTATAATTATAAGTGTACAATTGTAAGCTTTTTAATAATGATCATGTTTTATAACAGAAAAAAAACATAAAAATATAAATATTTAATATATATTCTCTATATTCTTTCTCCAAACCCAGACTAAAATAAATCTGAGTTTCTTCCCTGAACCTGTTTCTCTACCTTTAAACTGACATCCCAAACTTAGGAGGCAAATATATAAAAAAAAAAATTCATAGCATTCAACATACTCCTGACAAAGTTTCGATCACGGCAAATTTTAATATAGATTAGCCATCTGTGTGGGACATAATATATGTAGTTTGTGTTACACCTGTACATTCTATATTGGTAACATCTCATATTTTGATTGGATAGCAACAAATCCAATAATATTTCACCTGACCTATAATCTAATACGAATAAATAAAAGTAGCTTTACTTTATGTATTTTTTATTGCTAATCTGTCTACTAATATTGCAACTGTCTGTATGTTTTCATATCATATCCTTCACTAATAATCCGTTTTATTTTATTATTCGATACGCCAACAATTATTTACAACATAATTCTTTAGAAACAAATCAATATCAAGTCTAGTCATTTCATTGTCACTTACCGGTCAATTCATAAATATACTAAATTATCAAAAAGTTTCGTTGATCTTCAGCTTCTTTTTACAAATTTTGTGCTATAAACATTAAAAAAATTTTTTTTTTGTTTGAAATATCAATGGCTTTTTGGGCATTTTCACAAAATAAATAAAAAAATGACAATAATTTACACTTTGACTTGACAATGAGGAAGTATTTAAAAAAACACATAAGTTCCCGAAATCAAACTAGATATCCCTACGGTACGTTCTTGATTTGTCCCTGACAACCCTTCTGACTGGCTATGGTCCATTCGTTTTCTGCAAAAATCAACTTTTGCGAGAGTCGTTATCTAGTGGAAGCGCTTTTTTAGTGCTTTCGTTTTTTTTTTAAATACTTCCTCATGGTTAATAGTTGACAATGAGGAACAAAAAGTTATGTCACTAGATGGCAGCACAAATTGTTGGATCTAAACGTCAATTCATGACGTTAAACCAAAGAGAATAGAATTGTCAGTGTTGTTATGGCTCTGATAACTCGGATTAATATCGAGTTGAAATTTAATTAGTTCTAGTTATGCAAACAACTCGATTAATACAAAGTAATATTTGTATAAATTTATTTTTTATTATATAAAGAGGAAAATGGAAACTAACGTAATGGAAATAAGCACAGAGGTGTTTTTTTTTAATTTATGGAAATTAATTGAATTAATGCTGTGATATAATTAAAAGTGGCATTTAGCTACGGTATACAATAATATTACCGCCAAAAAGTTTTTATAAATAAAATACTTATGCCATAAAAAGTCTAGGAATTTTTAATTATAATTTTTAATTAAAGTTCTGCAAATAGTAACAACTAGGTTAATTAGTTTTATTGCTATTAGTTATATGTTGAACTTACAAAAACAAAACTACATCAAGTCTCAATAATATTTTTATATTAGGTATGGTGAATCTTGCATGTCGACGGCGGACGTCAAGGCATGTGTTAAGTTAATTCGTACGGTGGGTATGTGCTTTTTGGTTCTTACAATAATATTGTTAATAATAGATTGACACAACCTACTCTAGAAATCAGTTTTATTGAAATATATTATTTACTAAATACCTAGAGTAGTCCTGCTCTCTTAAAATTCTCTGCAGTGGTGTTGTGTGCGTTAGGCCGTTACGTTCCCTCAAATATAGTATAGTTGAGTTATATAGATGAAATTAAAAAAGCAGCCCTTGTAGTTTTGCGAACCCTTGGCAAAGTTCTCGACTTTCACAAGTACTATGTAACAGCCTAGACTGAATTGATTTTGATATTTATATTAACATCATTCGTTTTGTGGATGCATAATGAATGACACATACAAATACAATTCTGCGCTACGCTTTTTGTTCTTCATTCCAAACCTGAATTCGGATGAAAGTTACGAGCAACCAATAAGTTGGTTCATCATCACTAATGTTGACGTATCAACCAAACATCGTTCCTTTACACGTAACATAATAAACAACTTAAACTTACGATTAACATAAATTAAAATTTATTTGAAAGTTAGATATTATAAGAAACACAAAACGATGTCATATTTATTAATTTTCGATACTCAATTTACTTTTATTACGTCAGAAACAAAATCTGATTGAATATCATAAACAAAATCCAAACATCGCGAGTGACATCTAGTATTATTTCAAGAACAATTTTTATTTTTTAAATACTTCCTCATTTATATTGCCACATAAAAATCGTTATTTACATAGCCTTTAGGAGATATTTAGGAGTTATTTAAAAAAGACATTATTTTAGTAATGTCTTTTTTTAAATAACAATGTAGATATAGAGAAGATATAATGTAAACAACAAAAATTTTAAAAATTGTTTAATTTTTATGTTCGTTACACAAAATTTGTTAACATGCTTGCAAAAATATTATCTTTTTATAAATAAAAATTATTAGTCCAATCATTTGTTCTGGCTCTGGAATAGTAATGGTGTTAAAATAGGTAGTAGTTATGTTAAAAATATGAACACATCTATTGCTATTATTATACTATGAAAATTGTTATTGAATAACAAGACCTTTTTAATAAGCAAATTTTAAGGAGGTACATGCATACAGGATGTGGCGTGTAACAAATTCTTTTTTTTTAATTGACCATATTTCTATATAAATTTTATAAGTCATTTAACAACACAATTATGAACTGCGAGTTGTTTAAACTTAATTGAGCGAAATACTAAATAAATGCCAAATAAAACTTTGTTATTATTAAAGTAACAAATTTAGTTTTCAATAAAAATCTATAAAAATTACATATAAATTAGTTATGGCATAAAATTATATCTAAATTTATATATATGACCTAATTTAAGTACAAAGATCACGGCGTTTCAACAAAATATTAACAGAACGTATAACAGATCTAGTTGTCCATAATAGAGTTAATATATTGCGCATAATTTGATTTTAGCGATTCAACATTATGTAAAAATAGTATCTCTATTTAAAACACCAGTCGGTCCATAACTGACATATTTCAGTTTTTTTTATTTTTTATATAATGAATGTGACGTCCTAACTGTTATTTATTAATTTCGATATGCCTATTAAATTATACGTAATACTGAAAGTCGCGTATCCTAAGTATGTTGTAAGGCGAACGTTTGTTACTCCGAGTTAAGATTAAGCCGAAACGTCATTATCACATTTTTTTTAATGGGAAATCTGTTATACAGTATTGGAGCGGCAGTTAAGATCAGGAGGAACCGAATTCGTCCATCCACGACAGATATTTCTGTATGTCGCCTTTGGATACAGATTTGTTACATTTCGCTAACGCCTCCATGAAGTCTTGCTTCGTAACGGGCAGGTCCAATTCTTCTTTAGCCAACTGTTTGATTTGTTCCGGTTTCAATCCGGCTATTTTGCGACGCATTGACATCATCGACGCATCTCTGAAAAACGTGGTTTGATTTAGGCGTTATGTGGACTGATTTCGGACATCTATTACTTTCGTCGGACTGCAAAATTCATAAAAAATGAATCAAAATTTTTTTTAATGAATCAACTGTAATTTTATTTAATTACAGATAAATATTATATTCGTTATTTATTTTTATGTTAATTCATACGAGTAGTACATATGCGGATAACATAGGCTATAATTTACAGGGGCAAAGTTTCGGATAGTTATTCTTTAAAATTAAAATGTTATAATTATAAAGTACTAGATGTCCTTTCTCAACAATGAAATTTTGCAGCACGCATTTTGTCAATTCTATGACAAAGGTCTTAAGGTTACATTAAAAAAGTTTATATTATTCAAAGCAAGGATTACAAGTCATTTTATATGGTGGTTAAATACTCTAAAATTTTCTAATTTAAAAACACAACTTTCTTTTCTTATTATTTTATGAAAAGAACCTTCTCTTGGCAATAACAAACACGATAAAAAACCAATTTGCGAACGGTCCAACCGTTCACGTGTGATGGTGTGACCAGGAAAAATAGGGATTCATTTTTATATATACTGATATGTAACCTGCAAACGTTGGTGATGTCGGCACCAGAGTAGCCATCCAATTTTCTTGCTATGGAACGCAAGTCTACTTCCGGATCCACTTTAACCTCTCGCAGGTTGATCAGCAGTAAAGCCTCCCGGCCCTCTTGCGTCGGCAGCGGTATGTAGATGCGTTTTTCTAGACGACGCCGTAAAGCTTCGTCAATATCCCATGGAAAATTTGTAGCGGCTAACACCATCACCACCTGATGAATGAATGGCACTTAATCTTTTTACATTTTTAAAATATATATCTCTATTTCTTAATTTTCCGAAAAATCCGGGGAACTAATGACACCGGATTACAGGGTCCGATCTAGGGGGACATGGTGGGGCACTTGCCCCGGGCGCCAGTGTCAAGTGTGCGGAAAATTTAGAATATAATACAATCAAAAAAATAAGCGCTTCATGAAAATGTTTCACAATTCGCATATATTATAGAAGGACATAGACTATAATGTAAAATCCAACGGATGGGGGGGGGGGAGGAGGAGGAGGAGGAGGGGGAGGGGGAGGAGGAGGAGGAGGAGGAGGAGAAAGAAAGAGAGGGTTGTAGGACGCCATATCAAGTTTTTGCCCCGCTTGAGTAATACCATCGGACCAACGGCTTAACGTGCCTTACGCTCGTGATACAAAATGTTTGATCACCCATCTCATGACTTGCTAAATCTTTCCTATCTTTCCTTTGACAATTCCATAATAGTTTTCAAATATATGCGCGTCTAACGTTTAGCTTACACAATTCCCATTAACATCAAATCAACGATATTGATCATCCAATATCTATCAACGTCGTGACCGCAATCGCTATTTAATTATTAAACATATCGAAGACTATTAAACACTATTTTTTTATTATTTTTCGCGCATTCAATAAATGAGGAAGTATTTAAAAATAAAAATAAAGCACCTCCACTAGCTGGCGACTCTAGCAATAATTGATTTTTAGAGGTAACAAATGGACCAAAGATAGTCGTTCCCGTTCCTTTTAACCAACATTTTAAAAACCGGAAATTTGCAAAGTTCGAAAATTTTCAAATAGAACATGAGTTGTCAATTGAATTTTGAAAACTAATTTACTTTTATACATGAAAGAAAATCGGAAGGGTTGTCATGGAGAAATCAACAAAGTACCGTAGCGACATCTGTTTAATTTCGGGAACTAATGTATTTTTTTTTAAATACTTCCTCATTACGACTATACATTGAATTGAAATATCGCATGACGGTCACATCTTTGTACATTTAAAACATAGTTGTAACGGAGCCCCTACTCTTTAACTTTAATGACTACTTAAAAGCTAATTCTTTTAAGAAGAAAAAAAACTTCGTATCTAATATTTTACATTTTATCCAAGTTAAAAATTAAAAAAATTCTCTTCTTTTGTCCAGGCATCATAAGTCAGTGTACCTTGGCTGGTTCATCTGTAGCGGAGCCTAGTCCGTCCATTTGCACGAGAAGCTCCGACTTGACTCGACGCGATGCCTCGTGCTCGCTGTCTGAGCCCCGGCGGGAGCACAACGAGTCTATCTCGTCTATGAATATAGTACTGGGCGCGTAGAACCGCGCCTGATAACAAACAAACAAACACAAACTCAATTTAAACTCATTATAATTCGATAACAACAATTCACATTCATCTATTGGCTATGTGCACGACTTCAACGATGTCTAGCGTCCTCAACTTTGGCAGCTTTGACGCTTTGGAAGTAAACGTATTATTTTAGACATATCAATAAAATCAACAACTATACAATGTGTAATAGAAATAACGCATAACGCACATCCTTATACACCCAAATTAGAAAATGCATTTATAATCATAAAACGAAAATTGGAATTTTACTTTTATGTACTAAAACATTTTTTTATGTATGGGCACAGTTATACTAATTGCTTGGCAACGGTTTGGACATCTTCTGAATCCACACAGTGATTCGGAAGATGCCGCTAAAAACGAAAATTGGAATTTTACTTTTATGTACTAAAATATTGTTTATGTATGAACACAGTTATATTAATTGCAAGGTAACTATGTGGATATCTTACAAATCCAAAGAGTGACGTCAAAATTACGGCTAAGCCTGCAACTACAAATGTATGTACCTACAGCGCAATACCACAATGATACCACCTACCTACCAATAAAATTTCTCGCCATGAAAAATTACTCTGTTTCGAGATGCAGTGTTTTTAAGTTTAGACAATAATTATGATTCTTACTTGCTTTGAGTATCGGCTAGCATAATCTTGGGATCACATATCACACGGCGAGCACAATATCACCACATTTTGCCTAAACCTTAAGCATTTCGATGTATTTACTGTACGTTAGTATAACGAAGAATCATCGCATGTGAAATTTAATATTCGATAAATTTAAATTGCGATATAATAATCATTAACTGCCACTGTCGTGTTTGTCACATCTTTGTTTATGAATTATTATAATCTTTAATTTATGAACTTGTGCATCATAACGTTTAAGAGCATTTTCGACTCAAGGTACATTAAAAGAACTTTCATTTTTCTTTTTTTTTTCCTATGTTGTATTTTATTACAAGCTAAGAATATAGTGTATTTTAAAAAGCCTTATTTCATTCACTTAAGTTTATTTTTTGTTTGTGACAGCTGTAATGGTTAGTGGTAAAGTTGTTGAAATCGAATCAGTATTTGATTTTAAACGAACTAGTTTCAGGAATTGTTGTAAAATTATTTTTAATCATTCAAGTTACATAATGTTTCACGAATTATTATTTTTTTGTTGCAAATTTGTTGTAAAACGATTTCATTAAATAATAAATATATACAACTATTCCTGTATCGTTACATCGTTAGTTACCGGGTTTGACTCACAATATAATATAAAAACAATTATATATTGCAATGCCTATGTTTCTTTGTGACCAAAAAATGTATGTATTAATACAAATTTTGAGTATCTAATAACACTGTTTTGACATGACAACCAATTACAGGGTGTTTTCATCGATCATTGGATACCTAAAAATGTGGCAAATTTCTTTACGATATTTTACAAAAGCTAGACATATTTTGTCTGCAGATTCCAAGAAATGAACTTTATTATATTATTATCTAACAGGATGACCACAACATGCAACTTATTTTCAATAGTGTCAAATACACTATTTAAAAAGATGCTAACCAAAAAAAGCTCGATTGTGCCTACAATTTTTTTGTCTTACCTATGTAATACTGAGACACAAAATCTTCAATAACGTAGGGTGACCTGCCTTTCTACTCATATGTCCGGTCAAACTGATCTGGCTATGTATTAGGTTTGGTGACCTGATAACCTTATGCGCGCATAAAAGAACACTGATCTAGTTAAAGTTAACGACATTATACGCACCATTTCGAATAATAACCGCACCAGTTTCTCCGATTCGCCTCTGTACTTGGACGTGAGCGTTGATGATGACACGTTGAAGAACGTGGTGCCGCATTCTGTCGCCACCGCTTTAGCTAACATTGTCTTCCCTGTACCTGGTGGACCGACCATCAACACACCCTTCCATGGTCGTCTGATACCCTGTACAGATTTGTCATCATTTATAAGTATAATCTTAAGATTAAAAAAAGGTAAGGTTAACTTTGTAGGGGGTATTTAAATATCTTCGGAAATACTGATCGGATAATGGAAATTATTTCATCATCATCATTCAAACGCGGTGTGTAGTGGATAAGCACCGCTGCCCGCGGATGTTGTTGTTAAGCAACAATCGCAATGGTCGGTCACGGGATGGGTGACCAAAAAAATGTTATCTTGAGCTACTCCGTGCTACGCAAGACATATTAAGCCGTTGGTCCCGGTTGCATTTGCAGTCGTTAATACCCTCCAGTTCGCATTGGCCAACGTGGAGGGTTATGGCCTATCTTCCTTAACAAGTTGATTGTTATTGTGGATGTTAACGACAACAGATGCAGCTGGGACCAAAGGTTTGACGTGCCTTGCAAAGTACGCGTCAGCTTATAATACTTGGGCCAATGTTTGCTATTGTGAGTTGCTTCATTTCCGCAACGCAGATCGAACGCCCTAACTACTGCTCCATCGAGTTCCTTGATATTAAGTGACGGTTGATTATATTGTTGGAAAAATCAAAAACATATCGCTTAGTGCCCATTACACGAAAAAAATTGAGTGCAAAATTAATTTGTGTCAAGCAAATTATATCAAATTTTAGTATTAAAATGTACACAACTCATTCTAGCTCTGAAAAGGGAACTATATTTTTCTGGTGCTTTGGATATAAATACTATTAATTGTTAGTAAGAAAAGATAAAGATATATACATAAACACAGTATAGATTTACTTTAAAAAAGTCTGGCATCCACATTGGCAAGACTACGGCTTCTTCGAGTAATCTCTTGGCTTCTGATAGGTCAGCTATGTCATCCCATCTAATGTTTGGATTCTTTTGTACGATATCTCTTTCTGAAATAAAAACAGAGTTGCCTTCTAAAATCCATATTTTTACTCTCTAAATGGTTCAAGTCAAAAGGCAAATAACAAATACAAATGGCTAGACGACCGAATAAATTGAGCTAGGACGGTCGGTGCATTGTATTTTGTAGTTATATATATTGACATAATTCTTTATGAAAAAAAAAATGTCCAATCTAACGCAATAATTTAAAATTTAAGCACAATTTACAAAAGGCGAAGCCGCTGCAAACTATGCCAGTATACATATGCACAGTATATACAGTTAATCTGCTCTATTCAGAAACATATTTTTGATTTTGAGATCTAGAAGCTAAAATTTAACATGTTACACAAAAATCACAGACAAGATGTAATAATTAATGCAAAAAGAATAAAACACGATGACTTAACTTTGATTTCAATAGGCTAATTGACAACTTTTCTTTTATTTATATATTCTATTAATATCTGAGAAATAATGTAGAAGTAATAGCATGTCTGCGATTAATAGTTTCGGAGATACGGTGCTGTTTGTGGAACTGCTGCTAGTCGGATAAAAATGCTCCCTACAGATTCGAGGCACCGAGTGACGTCACACTGTGCTACGGTAGCGAAAAATGTATGGGCGTCTGGGCAATCTTTGTAATATCTTTTTTAATATCTTATCATGAAAGTTGTAACGTTTTATATAAACAATTTAACGCCATATGTATTCCAGCAAATTTTGGTAATATATTATTCCTACTTTTTCAAGTTTTCAAAGTGTAATATTTTCGAAATAAGTGTAATGAATTTTATCATTATGTTAAATATTGATAAGTCAAAATGGTTCATGTTTTCCGAACATATAACAGAAATCTGTATTTTCACTTTTAAGACATAAGTGTATTATTAACAATTTATTTATTTATTTCATGAACTAAAACTAACATTACATTTGATAAATTTTGAATTTATAATGCTACACTGGAAAATATTCTTAATGAAAAAAATATTTTAATAGAAAAATGCTTAAATAATTCACCAGCCTCAGATACTCTGAGGTGGGACTCGAACCCACGACCTTTCATCTTTTTTTAATTTTTAAGCATATTTTCATTAAAACTAACGTGTTCAGAGCCATTTGCACTAACGTGTATTAAAACTGTCATTAGTTTCAAGACATTACACATTTAAATTTGATATTCATTAGAGCTTAAAGGCGCCATTAAACCTTAATGGAATTTTGTGCAAGTGACAGTCAGACTGCTTATTGCCAATGTTATCTCAATTGTAGATATTTTTTTTTATGGGATGGGGGCAGACGAGCAGACGGATCACCTGATGGTAAGTGATTACCGTCGCTCATGGACACCTGCAACACCAGAAGGGCGACAAGCGCGCTGTCGGCCTTGGAGGGAAGGGTTGAGGGGTAGAGAAGGGAATAGGGAGGGGTTGGGCCTCCGGTACCCTCACTCACACGACGAAACACAACGCAAGCGTTGCTTCACGCCGGTTTCTGTGAGGCCGTGGTATCACTCCGGTCGAGCCGGCCCATTCATGCCGAAGCGTGGCTCTCCCACTAAATTCTAGTGTAGATTTCTGGTAAGGAGTAAAATACCTTATTGTTGCAAGGGATTTCCGCAAAATTATGCCTCATAGTATTAATGCTAGACTCACCGAGCATGTCCACTAGGTCACCGTCTGCCGCAGACGGTGGTTCGAATCTCCGCTCGTCCTCTTTGTGTTTCTCATCGTCTGTGTCACCATTATTGTTGTCTCTGTCTTGTTTATCCTTACCGTTGTTACCGTGATCTTTATTACTAGTATCCTTCGTTTTTGCTGAAAATAACATACTTTATATTATTATATTTGATTAATTTTGAATTCACAATGCTATACCTACTGAAAAATATCCTTAATGAAATTAGAACAAATTTTCATCTTTATCAAAAGTTTAAATTTTTGTAAAAAAATATTTCTTTTGACTGCTTAGGTGAAAAGCCTGAACATTGATGAAAATAAGCTTTGTAGTAGCTAAAAAAGTAGCATGAGCTTGAAAAATTCGACAGTCCTGTTAGGTACACCGGGTAGCTCAATGGTTAGAGCAGTCGCCCGGATTGCGCAAGTTCATGAGTTCGAGTCCCATTTCAGAGGGCCAAGGACAAAGGATTTATTAAGAACTTTTCATTAAGAATACTTTATATCAACTTTTTGTTCGCAATACTATCCAATATATTAGGTAAATACTTAAAAAAAACTTAAGGTTGTGTTAAATTGCAGCAATCGCGTCAGATTGTGGTTTGACATGGACATGCTGAACGAATAACACATGTTAAGTGCACTTGTTTCAAGCTAATAACAAACAAATCGCAGTCGATCTAGTTACGAGGTAGACCTGCAGAGACTACTAACTAAGCTAAGGTTACGGGTAGTTCAGTTGGCAGAGCACTTGGTGAGTTAGCGAAACGTTGCTAAATTCTAGTGTAGCTTGGTATCCGAGACTCATCCATCTTTTCAAGTATTTTTTGAAGTTACCTAAATTTTGATTTTCTTATAACAGATAATTATCAGAGTTTAAAATTATTATTATCAAATAACGAACCAAAACCTAGAACACTTTAGTAGGATACAAGTTAGAAATGACCTAACTATGAATAATTTAAGAATTAAATAATTCAGAAAAACACGTACGCCATGGACAACTCGATGTATTAGCTATTGTATTCATACTTGAAGTTATTTTTACTTAGTATGAGTACACGTCGATAAAAGAAAACAACTCTTTAGAATATAACAAGTTTTAAGAATAATATACAAAGTAAGTTCAGTTTGATAAATTTTAAGTCGAGAGCTTGTTAAGGAAGGGCCAAAGATAAACAAAGCTAATTTTAGTAAGCATGTTGAGTCAAGTGCCTTAAATATGTATCCCTACAGTTCTTTGATCCAACTTTTAAACATGGAGAGCTCGTAATCTTTGGAATTTATTACACAATGAATATTCTTTTTGTAGTTGACATAGTCACTGAATTTAAACTCTAGGTTTATTATAAAATAACGTACCAATTTAACAGCAGCATAAATGTCTAAGAACAAATATATGTCACCAGTAATTAATGCAATAAATCTATAAATCCTGTTCATATCCGGCTCGAAGGACTAATGTTTTACAAAGTTATAATGCATAATGACCCGAATTGAGTTTGCTCTTTTAATTGGAATATAAAATTTGAGTCATTTCAAGTTAATTTATGTAGTCATGTAAAACGTATATATTAACAATTATTTATACTGACCACTATGAGCTTTGTTTGGGGCTATTTTAGGGTTCCTTGCATCAGAAGTCTTTCTTTGCGATGTCGTGGCATTCCGTCCTGTGGTGGGTTTCTTGTTGTCGACGCGACTGTTCCGTGGGTTGTTTCGTGCTGATTTCATTACTGGAGGTCCTCTGTGAAACAATATTTAACTCCCATTGAAAAATTCAACTCAAGAAGTTAGTAAATACCAGTGACATTAAATTGAGAAGACAATTTGCTTGTAACAAAAGAGTTACTAGCATAATATGTACGGCGATGTAAGGTGAAGACGACCGCAGGAAATACACTGTGTGAAAGTTAATATGTATGAATCAAATCAAATCAAATCAAAATTTATTTATTCAGTTTAGGCTTTTACAGAGCACTTGTGAAAGTCGAAAACTACGCCATCGGTTCGCAAAACTACGGCGGGAGACCTTGTACTGAGAAGAACCGGCAAGAAACTCAGCAAGGGCTGTTTTTTTCTCCTTCTTCTTGTTTTTTTCTCTTTCTCCTTTCATAAGAAAGTAGTTAATGTTGATATGACGTCTGATCGAGAATTGTGCATTTATTTGCTGTGGGCTTTGTACAGATATTTTGCTAAATAGGTGTGGAGCTGCTAAATATCGTAATTTTACAATTATTAAAATATGTTGTGTACGGAAGCAATCGCTATAATTAAAAAACTGCTTTATAACCACAAACGCCCACATCCAATGAATACAGACCAGCATTCCACACCAATTAAAAATCATATATCTCACGTATGATGTAACTTTAGTGTGATGGTCATTATTTGGGTATTTATACTACTATAAATCCTTTAATGAAAAACTGACACAGAATTCGTTAGGCAGAAGAAAGAGGACGGATTAATTTCAGGAGAGAAGGATAGCGGATGGGTTGAAAAAGAAAATGGGAAACTGGTGTAGTTAAATCACCTCCTAATCATTACCATTTATCATCATCATCAGCTCATTCCGAATAGAATCACATCAGGAAAACTTGACGTATATTGTTACACGTTGTCCTGTGGAGTGGCGATTGGAGTTTGTAATGGCTCTACCTGTCTTCTGTAGGAAGGAGCCCGAGATATAAAAATCTTTCTCATCCATTTTATGATACTCTTTAAAAAGTTGCCTAACCACTGCAATCGCAAGCATCGCAGCATACACTCATTTAACATATTCTAAATTTAGACTGCTGTAATTAATTAAAAGATTCGGTACTTGTGTTCTGCGCTAGTGGGCGGTGGCCACGCGTTGGGGTCTCTATCGGGGGGCGGGGGCCACACATCGGGGTCTATTTCGTGCGGCGCCGGTGCCCACATCTGGTCCCTGGTCGGTAAATCCTCGTAATCTGTGAACAAAACCAACTGGTCTTTACGAAATTTTCACGAATACAAACAAATTTCAAATTAATAATTGACAAAATGTTGTAAACTTATTTTAATTTAGTGTCGCATCTAAATCTACAAACTTTTAATCGAAAGCAATAAAATAGCCTTATCGTCGCGCTACTATAACGTCAAACGCTACATATATGCCATAGTCATCTTTGTCTGTTTTACGACTTTTACCCGACACATAATGATATATAACGGAAGATTTATGCGACTATTTTGTTACTTTGATCGTCAAAGTTTTTTTTATTTCTGTCCCTCTAATTTTTATCGAGTGGAAATGAATTGTCAAATGTGTTATCAATTTGATATTATTTAAACTTTGTAGAAGTGAGAGACGACTTTTATTAAAAGAAATGAGAAATTGAGGGGGGAAAATAGTAAAAAATAATGTTTTCCTTATTTACATATTGTTCTTATGTGTCAAAATTAAAAGGCGCGCTTGTTTGAAACAAATAAGAATATCCTACATATGACGTCAACCGAAGTAAATAAAACGCGCGTGCGGCATCATCAAAGATGGCACGAAGTTCGAACGGATCTGTTAGTAATAGAAAAATATACATTTTCGAGTACATATTTTTATTAAAAACTTTTATTTAATTTGCCGTAGCTTGGATCAGGCAATAACCAAAGAAAGACCCTCTTCTCGATTTTCGATGAGCTGAAATTTTACGCACATATAACTTGGATGAAAATACAATAATATTGATTTTACTATGATAATATAGAATGGAGCTGATCTGATGATGGAGCCGGAAGGTAGCAATCTCACCTATACCTATAGTAATTAAACGAAGCAGTACCATCGGCCTTGATGTCATTTGATTCATCTTGACAAGGACTTTGTTCCGAGGTTCCTGGATGTTATGATATCTGAAGGTCGTTTTCAAAAAGAAAGTTTGTATTTGAATTTATAACAACAATTCTTGAATAAAAAAATTAACTAGCAACAATAGTGATAAATTCATAAATATAATCATCATCAGCACATTTACGTTCCCACTGCAAGGGTTCAGGCCTTATGGATTGTTAAGGAAATTGGGCCATGACCCTCCACACTGGCCCAAATCCCAATGCGGATTTTAGGGTATTAACGACAAGTTATGCCTTCTGAAGCGTGGAATAGCTCGAGATAATAATTTTTTGGTCACCCATCACCACGCCGTCGAGCTATAATAGCTAGTGATAACTTAAATGACGATTATTTTAAAGTAAAAAGTGGCACTCGGTCGATAGCGCGAACTTTAATTAGTATTGGAAAGTGGCCTTGCTCCCCGCCGTCATCCGATTGGCCACGGTTGATTACGTGCGAATCTATCTACGCGTAAATTACGTAAATACGCCGTAAGAAACAGCCATTTAACGCTACAATAGTCAACTTGCTTTATGTATCTGAATATATTAAAATATATTACAATGTACAAAATATTATAGAAGTTAAGCAACTTTCGTAAGGGCCAGTCATAGGATGGGTGACCAACAATTTATTAAGTCTAGACATTCCGTGCTTCGGAAAGCACATTAAGCTATTGACCGCAGCTGCAATTCGCATTGGACAGGCGTGGTGGGTTATAGCCCGTTCTCCATATTCGATTCCATCCAGAGGAAAGGCCTGAGCCCCCATAATGGGGACACAGGCCGGTGATAATGATGTGGTTATACAGAAGCCAGAAGACTGGCTAAGTACCAATAGTTCGTACTTATATAAGATTAACCCAATTTTGTATTATATTATTTGAATGTTATTCGTTTTGTTTATTTATACTTTACCTTAACGGTTATTTAACGCTTTTAGACCCTTAAGCGTTTAAAATTGAACATTTCTTATAAAAATATTTACGATTTCCGTTATGTCAAAATAAAAAAGAGTTGGGTATGGTAATGAGAAATTGTAACGAATCCAAATTTATAATAGGGACAACTTTTACTTTGACTGAATCATTGAAATTATACTATTGCTATTGTACCATCATCAGTCTTTTGATGTCCCCATTGCTGGAGTGCCGGCCTTCCCTACGGAGGAAATCCAATACAATAGGGTGAATAGAGTAGTGCGGATTGGAGGGTGTTAACGTCTGTAGATGCGGCCTGGACTAAGGGCTTAACTGAAGTTAGTCAAATTTTGATCACCCATCCCATGACCGGCCTTTGCGAAAGTAGCTTAACCTCATCGCCATCGAGTTCCTCACTGTTGTATAGGCGTTTGTTATTTATATTAATGAGATTCGATTTACAAGTGGATAGTCCACTTGCAGATGTACTAAGATAGATTAGAGTTCTGTAAGCGTAGCGTAGATACAGTCAGCTAAAGACAAGACCTATCTATAGCGTCCGGTAATGAGATAGATAAGGGCAGAATATGGCGAATTCCGCGTAAAAACTATGTTTAATTGATTACTCGCAATCCATTACTAGGATAAAGGAACCAATTGATTGACTAGAAGATTCTACCTTGTATGAAATAATCAATTTGACAATGTGTGCGAGTATTACAATGATTTTTTGAATTTCAAATAGGAAAAATAAGCGTTAGCAACTGGCACTGACCTAAGCTCATTTTTGTTTGTTTTCACGGGTAAATAACCAACAGTTGGCAGAGCACAGATGAGATGGAATGATTACATCAAATCGAGACAAAATAGAATAAAGTAAAGATAACTGAAAGACACAACAAACGGATAGATAGTATCGTATAAGCTCCTAAGCTTAAGGCATCACGTCTAAGGGAAAACTAGAAATACTCGTAGCATAAAAAAAAACTGCTCGTATAAAATTAAGCTTTCCCTTTTTAATCTGTGAGTTTTATAATAAGCTACGAGTCTCTGTTGACTTTCATACATCTTTAAGTACAGTAGTCCAAAAATATGGTCTACCATCCTACGGTTGAGGTACATTTGATCGTCTTAAAACAACATGGTTTATTTCTCTATGACGACAGTGATAATTACTTTAAATGTCGGACATCTCAGATAATTGACATAACGTTACAATTGAGAATTTATATTCCATTAAGAAAAATCTACCTTAGCGATAGTTAGATCCCATAGAAACTTTTGTAAAAACTGGTATACCATTATCTTGGCCAACCGTACGTAATATATATGTAATTTTTAAACATCTATACATATAGTTCAGCTATCGCAGACGATTGCACGGATAATGAGGATTACTTAGAGGCATCAAGTACTCTTAATCCTGCACTGTTGTTGGACGATTCTTTAACAAGTCGATTTAAATAAATATTATTTTGACTTGACTTGTTGATTGAAGAAGGCTTGAGATGAGACGATAATTTTTGTAAACAAAAAACGAGTCCTTCTACGTCCATTCTCTCCGAATACCTCTTAATGGGTAACGCATTAGCATCAATGCAGGAAACTACGTAACAATTAAATCATTCAGCAAACAATCGCACGCGCGTCACTTCTTCAAATCGACATGTAAATCGATTACCGGCCTTCGATTACACACTCGATACCCGGCAGTCTCGACACTCGATATGGTCCATTATGTCACTGCACACGCTACACAATGGCCGCAGGAAGGGAAAGGTCCCATCGGGTCATTATTAAAATTTAATTAAACCTTTTCGGGAGTTATGACGCTTGGCTTACTTCGAACAATAAGATGTTACTGTCTGACCAACCGTTAACTGTACAATATTGGATTTCATACTTCGCTTTTAAATTGCTGAGTTGATTTGAAAAAAAAAACGACCAAGTGCGAATTGGAATCGCGCACGAAAGGTTTTATTTCTTAAACATTAAAAAAAACGCAAAAGTTACGTTTGTCGTGTCGTATGGGAGCCCCCTCAAATATTTATTATATGCTGTTTTTAGCATTTTTAGTTATAAAGGCAACAGAAATAAATCATCTGTGAAAATTTCAACTAACTATCACATTTGAAGAGATAAACAAATAGCAGTCTTAGTAATAAGATCCCATTTTTACCCTTTGGGCACGGAATCCTAAATTTTACGATTGTTGTCTTGTGTTGTGATACTTGCATCTACAATTTTTTAATTATTTTGATTAGGAAAACAATTAGCTATGAAATTGATTGATTAGGCTTAAGTAACATGTTTTAACTAGAAAGCTAATTATTTATCTCTTATCAAAGAGGTGCAGTTCGTATAAGTAGGAATAAGACAGATGGATTGTGACACATGATTGACAGAGTATTCCATTAATAAGCAATTCGCATAAGAACTAGTGAGGTGGGCCGTTTGTGAATAGGTGAAAGATGAATAATGAATATTATTATTCCAAGTCGCCTTATCGAATTCCAACACCCTGCCTGTCAGAAAAACAACAGTTTTATATCACACTTATATCACACTGCCAAAGAAAATATACGCAAAAGTAACTGCTTTGGCATGAATGACGTATACTGATTAGGGTGGATTCGTATTAGCCTCGCACTTGTTTACTTTTACCGCGTGGTCCTGTATTATATATAAAAACCTTCCTTTTGAATCACCCTGTCTTATATTTGACCAATTTTCCATTCACAATGTTATACTGAAAAGTATTCTTAATGAAAAATATTAAATAAAAAACCACTTTGTCCCTGGACTCGAACGCGTGACTTTTCGCAATACGGGCGACTGCTAACTACTGAGCTACCCAGGACCTAACAGGAGATTTTTCATTATAGCATTGTAAATGCAAAATTGATCCAATATAATAATTAGAACAAATCATTTTTATCGAAATTTAAATATATCTTTCGGCTGTTTGGGTGGATTGTCTAAATATTTATGAAAATACGCAAATACGCTCTGTAGTAACGAAAAAGAAACAAGTGCCTGAAAAATTCGTCAGTCCTTTTAAGTGCTGGGATTGCAGTGAATAGTCATGGATTCGAGTCCCATCTCAGAGTGCCAGAGACAATGTGGATTTTTAAGCATTTTTCATAAGGAATATCATCCTATCTATTAAAAAAACGCATCGAAATTCGTACATAAGTACAGACAAACGGAAAGGCACTTTGTTTTATAATATGTATCAAAGAGGTCTATTAAAAACGTTTGAAGTTTGTTTCACACTGCCACTACTACGTATTTCAATACCTGACCTTTGCACTGGGTACTAAGTGTACCCTTAGTACTTCAACATACTAAAATATCAAGTTTTAGAAAGCTCTTCTGCTCTACGCTTCCAGCTCCGTGCAAAAAAAAAATTAGGGTATGTACTCACTGCCTGCAAGTGGTGTGAGGGCCTTCTCTCCGTCGTGTTGGAACATTTGCAGCGTTGCTACTGTCGCCTTCAACTGTTCGTATTCGCGCGCCATTTGCTTTTGGACCTGAAAACAGACAACATTGTTATCAACATCTTGAAAGCGGTTGAAACATTACGCAACTGAATAAGAAGAAGAAACATTTATTGATCTAAAACAATAATTAACAGCACATAACCTGCACTCGTAGCATGCAAACTTGACAAACGTTTGTCTACCTGAAACTCGTATTTATAGTCGAGAAAAATTATAACTTGGGAATATGTTATTTACTGTCTACACCCGTATTGATTTAAGTTTCTGTTTTTAGAAAGCAATTCGATCATATGTTTAATTTATTTTTTTTTCATTTGGCAAATTTATAGTAGGGAAACCAAAAAGGGATTTCAGGATTTACTAAAGTCTAGTACCCTGTTAAGTACTCCCACCAAATATGAGCTTCTATATGTCGCACGTCTAGGACAAATCATCAAATGAGTAAAAGAAAAATTGATTATCTGAAATTCTCGATTAAGGTAGGGTGAGTTAGTTATATACTAAGCCGTGTATATTTCACTAAACTAACAATTTAAGAGTAACGCAAAGAAAGGGGAGAGCTACAAAGTTGTAAAATAAGCATTCATCTCGACATTCTCAAGCGTGGCTACTTTTTTTTACTTTGAAAGGAAAAAAATATAATCTGACTATTTCCAAGCCAAAGTAACAAGAATTCATAGATAAAGTTTAAGGAGTTCTATTCATCTCTCATTCTTTCTCTATTTATATGCTCTGTCATTGTGTTTCCACTCTGGTTTCAACGCATCAACGCTGATATGGGGCCGTCCATAAATTACGTCACACAAAATTTATGATTTTTACAAATTACAAATTCTACTAAATATTGTTCTAATGTCACAGTTCGTCGACCCCCCCCCCCCTATCCTAACGTGTGACGTAATTTATGGATGGCCCCTATTGGGCCCTTTATAGTGCTTACGTCGATTTACAGAATTAGCGGGAAGCAGGTTGGATAAGTGTATAAGGTTAAATAACTATAACTATATCAACAAATCAACAATTTCAACAAAAATTGCAATTCAAATGTAATCAGTTCGCTTTGAAGGTAACGAGTAAGTTTATGTTATGATAAATTTGATCTCATAGATTGTTGACATTTCAATGTTGTACAACAAATTGCTTATTGATTGCACAGTAATTCTGGCGTCGTGATAGATGAATTCCTTGTTCAGTATGAAGGATGTTGAGTTTAGAAAAGTATATCATTTTTTAATAAATAATATTGTGTAATTTTTTTAACGATTCACGATTTTTTTAATTTAGCATTGTACATATACACATAAACAAATGCCGTGTATACTACAGTAACCTCACAAGACTATATTATTATCGCACATAAATTTATGTCACATACAGATTAAATAAAACATATAATACATACAAGGCGAACACGCATAGGGTCAAGAATAATGAATGTTAGCGTGCTCCATAAAACGCATTGACTTTAATCATGAGATATTGAAAGATGCATAGATATATCCGCATTAAGCTCAACACTCGAGCACAAAAGGGAAACTTCGATCTCACACAACGATTGCCACACGAAGTTTTCAAATAAATAATTAAGTCTAGTGATTCCCACGCAAAGGCATCAAGTTCGTTGGCCAACGTCCGTCGGTCGGTTTACGACATAACACTACCATTTTCACCTAATTCAGTTACTAAAACCCTGACCTACATTTGTAAGGAATCAGTTTTAATATGCTAGGGCCAAGTATGTTAGGAAGTTGGTAAATGGTAATTAAGAAAACTACCCACATTCCCGGGCGACGCCGAAGGTTGCGCTACATTTCCGACACGGCTTTTCAATATTACACTCTACCACCAAGAACTAAAGTTTGACATCCGGAAAAAAACACGTTTAGAACGGGAATCACTACAAAATTCACCCCAAATGCGTCATTACCGAACGATATATTACTACTGAGGTGGGTTCAACGAACTGGGTTTAGAGCGCGTCAACAAAACGATCGACTGACAGCAAAGACCTAGATCTGAACTATTTTAAATTCATACTTTTATTATTACTAGGGTTACCAGATTTTTTTCCCTGTAAGAAACAAATGCTTAAATGTGCAAAAAACTCGGTATTTTAATTTTTTCCAGGATTCATAAATAACCAAATTACTGACTTTTTATATTTTGTAAGAAAAACGCGCATGTTTTAACATATTTATGTTGGATTTGATATAATAAAAATGAATTAAAATCATAGTTAACTATTAATTTGGTTTTAATTGAATTGAAGATACATTTATTTCGTTCATCACTCCACTTTAACACCATTTGTAAAATCGATTTGATATATGTAACAAAGTTGGTCCCGGTGGGACATTTGATTTTATGAATAAAATACGGGACTTCCCGTGAAATACGAGACGTCTGGCAACACTAATTATTACGAATTTAATTTCTTATCACAGCTGTGACACAGTTGAGTAATGTATTTATTTTAATTTCGAAATGGCGTTTCATTTTTAATCGTATATTTCAATTCTTATCGTAATACACTTGAAATTAACCAAGAAACTATACAGTCACCCAAATAATTCCAACGAAAACGTATGTAGCACAAACATTATAAAAACAAATGAATGTTAATAAGGGGACAGTTACAAAACATTTAACGCACGAACTTTGTCTCCTACACTAGAATGGTAACATAAGTATTACAATACAAAAAGAACATGACTAAAGTCTACAATCGAACAAACGCTTGGCGGGAATCCAGTATGCCAGTCACTGATTTAGACTAGATTATTATAACTAATCCTTATCGAAAGAGTATTGTCTCTAAGGACTTTCGAATCTTATAAGAAATTCCGAATTAATTACATAAACCACTCTGTCAGTTTATAAATCTCATTACCATTTCAGGGCAATACACAAATCTTACAATCGATCGAAACCAGTTAAACAGCTTTATGTAATTCTGACCAAGTAGGTCATATAGCGACTACATTTTGCGAAGGCGTCAGATTGTTTTAATGACGTTCTTAGTAAAACTTGTCAACAGAAAAGGAAATTAGTGAAAGATTGAAACTTTTAATACTATCACATTACTGTGAAAATGTCTAGTCATCTATTATTTTGTCGTGAGAAGTTCTGTAAGTTAGATAACAAGCAAAATAATGTTCAGTGTGAATTTTATTTATGAATTCCCGCCGTAGATTATTCATAAAAGTCAAGCATTTATCGAAAGAGCTTGTCCAAAATAATCTTAAAAAAAATAAATTGGGTAAATAAAGAGTTTTGTTATAGCATATGAGAACATATTTTCAAATCTCTCTAACTGTTAGTACCGCCTGAAAGAAAAGTATGACCATAACAGGTGGGAGGAATTCATATAAAAAATCGCACATAGTGAACATTATTTTACAGTGATGATCATGACTAAGCTAATTATTAATCAACATGTTAGATATCTACGAATAAAACCTCTCATAATCAAATAACTGATTAGGGATATAATCGCATCTTAGACTATATACAAATAGTTTAACGCAAAAACATAATCATATATCAACGAGTGGATATGAGAACCTTTCAACGCATATGTAAGTGACCATTATAAATTGATCCAGTAAATGTTTCGTCTCATTACTTAGCAGGTTTATGAGACCGCTTTCTACAGACTGTACGGCTCAGCTAACAGGGATTCAAATCGCTATTTATGACAGCCATCTACAGTAAAAATACTCTTTTAGTTATCTGCATTAAGATACATAATAAATTGACGACAAAGAGATGACACGTTCTACGGCAAAAAATAGTTTTTTGTTTGTTAGTTTTGCAAAATGTGGTAAGAAGCTATATTGGTAAAGAAAAAGATCGACATTCTTTTATAAACAAAGGAAAGATTGAATTTTTATAAAAAAAATGGGTTGAAATATTTAAGAATTATATCAAAACTGTTCTGGAACAGTGGGTGAAAAAAAAGGAAAACTTAAAACAGCATACTAAATACACCTTCAATTCCTCATCATTGCAAGGAAATCATTATAAGCAGCAATTTTATTTTCCTGTATGGGAAAATAAAATTGGTGCGTTCAGAAATTAATTTTATTATAGAACTTTGGTCACACGCAGAGAATATAAATATATACCTAAATAATTGTCTCGACAAAAGTTTAACACAAATGTTACAATTCAAAGTAAGAAATTAATTTGTGAAACTGGTTTTTTTTCCATCTTCTGTATTAATGTTTAAATTTTCAGACTACAAAGAAACGATATTGCTTTTACAACAGATTCCAAACGTCTGCATACTATACAATAACCGAAATGATACCAAATGATAATATTATAACAGTAACGTTGTTGTTAATTCAACAAAAAGATATTGTGCAATTTATAGAATGTTTTTTCAAAAGAGAACCAATTCATTACATTCGAAACTTTAAGTCGCGATATACGTATTTAATTTAGTTTCTGAACAATACTAATGGCTTAAAAACTTGCTTCCATTGTGCCGGTTACGAGAATAAAAAGCTCAATTGAGTGAAATTGGCAATTCCGTATAATGTCTCAAGCTTTTATTCCCCAAATATATTTCGGTTTGCTGCAATAATTACACAATGACAGTACATAAAATTATATGGTTTTGTGAACCTTCACCTTACATTAGACACCTACGAAAAAAACAGCAAGTTGTCATAAATAATTATATCAGCTTCATACTGTCTGTTATAAACTTTTTGCTTACAGACGGGCTGGTCTGGTGAAAGACAACTAATAGGCAAGGATGAGACTGACAACAGATGACAGTCAGACTTAATATCAATAACGTCTTAAAAATATATATATTATTTTCTTTATTTAGTGTTTTTTGATATTAAGTCTAACTGTCATCTGTTGTAAGTCTCATCCTTGCCTATTAGTTGTCTTTCACCAGACCAGCCCGTCTGTAAGCAAAAAGTTTATAACATTCCATATTTTTATAACAAGTATTAACAGGTAATTTTAAATTCTGTATACTGTCATTAAAGAGAGAATAGACTTTAGTCAGT